TCAAAGAATTTCTTTATTTCTGGTTAATTTTTTTTCCCCAAAAGTCATTCAGGAGCTAGTTGTTTAATTCCTATGTATTTGTGTGTTTATGGGGTTATTCTTGATATTGATTTCTATTTTCATCCTACTGTGGCCTGAGAGTATTGTGTTTTTTTTCTTTTCTTTCCCTTTCCCCCTTCCTTCAGGTGTGCAACAATTGGGAATGCTGAGTAAGGCTTTGCTTCTATATTCCTATGCACTTCTGTTGGAAGGTAAGATGTGATGACTCAGGCTGCTGATCCAGGTGAGCTGGTGGTGTGAGATCTAGAAATCTGCCTGGGCATGGAGTGGAGAGGGCTTTGTTGCACAATGATCTATATCCAGTAAGAGTGGGGCACCTCAGGCTGCTGAACCCAATGCATGGGTGCTCGGAATGTCTGGAGATCTGCTTTAGGGTGAAGCAAAGACAGCCCTGATGTACCACAATCAAAGGGGAACAGGCTGGGACACCCATCAATGGCACATGCAGGCTGGTTCCAGGTCACTAAATTGGCTCTGGTTGTCTCACTGCCTAGGAGACACTGCAGCTACAGCAGTTCTCCTCCCACCCCAGGCTTGTAATAGGGAAGAGCACAATTCCTGCCTCTAGTGCTAAGATGCTTTCCACAGTTAGGGCTATGGAGGTCCCTACCCTGCTCCAGAGCAGGTGCTCCAGTCCCTGTCCAGAGATTAAAATGCCTGTGTGGCCACGCTGCCAGATTGACACAGAGTGGCTGACTGTATGCACCTAGAGTAAAAATAATATTCTGCTCTCAGTCCCGGATTGGGAAAAGTATCTGGAGCTTTACCCAGTGTTTTTCCCTCACAGAATGTTGTTCAAGCCTTTTCCCAAGACAGCTCCAGGGTTTGGGGAAAATAAAGTGCTTTCCCTCGGCCTGGGCCCTTGGATCCCAACTGGAAGGGTGAGTCACAGAGCGACGTGCTCTGCCTTTCTCATGTACTAGGACTTTACTCATTTTCTTAGCCATATGCCATCACAAGGGCTGTTTGCTGGCATTCTCATTTTTTGGGTCAGTGGTGTCCTTCACAATTCTGTGAAGGAAATTTCTGTTTTCCTTCTTGAATTAAAGTTCGCAGAGTTGGTCTTTATGCACTGTCTTGCTATTTCCAAGTGGTTGAGGCATGCTAAAAGCCTCTAATCTACCATCTTGAAAAAAAACTGTCATATCAAATTTTAAATTCATGGTCTGTGGCATCACATAACTCTTGGAAGATGAGATATTTTCCACATCACAAAAATTTCCTACTGTCCATATTGGTTGCCAGAAACATTATAACCAAGCTTAAGAAAGTTACTCATAGCCAAATAATTTCAAAAGCAAAATTATGAAAAGTCTTCAAATATTTGTATAGCAAAAATTATATTTATTATTGCATGTAGATGCTTAGATGCTTTTTAATGCATTTGTTCTACTATGTGAGGTGTCTCCAAAATAATTGTATTAAACTAAGTGTAAGTGAGAATTCTCAATAGCCTTGTATTTTTACTGTCATTTCCTGAACCCTAGGATGAACACAGCTTTTCCCTGAGTCTTTTCTTTGGAAACAGTCATTCTAAAGGACTCAGATATAATCTGAAAAGGCAGCTGTTTGTTAGAAGAAAAAACATAGTGAATATGTAAGTATACACATATGCATACATTAAATACAGCACAGTGTTTCAGGAAAAGTGGCAGAAACTTGGAAGATCTGATATACTGAAGACATTAACAAAAAAAGAAATGAGAAAAAGAGGCCTTGATGACCTCAAGTAAGCCTATGTGACTTATAGGGATAATAATTTTCACTGGATTGAATGGAAAAATACAATGGGCAATATTGAGATGTCTGCAGTCTCAACTTAGAGAAGCTCTGATATTTGTTGATATAGATCATTGTGTCAAAGGCAAGAAAAATATTCATTTAATGAGAATTTATCAGTCTAGGAATAGAGGCTGTGCTCCCAATGAAGGTTTATATATAGTACAACAGGACTCATTCCACTTGAACCAGTAAAGTTAGGTCAGCAGAAGCTTTCTTTGGTTATCTCTGAAATAGATAAAAGAAAGCTAATTAAAGTTAAGAGCTTTTACTTATTGATTGCTTGTACTCCAGCATTCCACCTGTATAAACAAAATGATAAAGTTTTTTTTTTTTATTTTGGCAAACCACTCATGTCTGAACCGAAATGGAAATCTTAGAACCAAACCAAAATTTTAGGTGTTTTTTCAGAGTTTACTTGCCTCTAAAATATGAATTATTTCTTTATGTTCTACCACTGTGAATTATGGATGAAGTAACTTGACATGTTATTAAAATGTGATAGTCTGTCTGAAATATTTTGATTACATATTTTTCTGAAGTATTTTTCTTCTTTTTTCTTTAAATACAGTGTTTATTTCTTATAGTCTCCATGCTTGAGGACTATCCTCTAAATAATTAAGCTTGCTCTGAGCATGACAAGTGTTATGGTTTGGCTCTGTCCCCACCCAAATCTCAACTTAAATTGTATCTCCCAGAATTCTGACGTGTTGTGGGAGGGACCCAGGGAGAGATAATTGAATCATGGGGCCGGTCTTTCCCATGCTATTCTCATGATAGTGAATAAGTCTCATGAGATCTGATGGGTTTATCAGGGGTTTCCGTTTTTGCTTCTTCCTCATTTTTTCTTGCTGCTGCCGTGTAAGAAGTGTCTTTTGTCTCCCACCATGATTCCCCAGCCATTTGGAACTGTAAGCCCAATGAAACCTCTTTTTCTTCCCAGTCTTGAGTATATCTTTATCAGGAGCATGAAAATTGACTAGTGCAGTAAGTTGGTACCAGTAGAGTGGGGCATTGTTGAATAGATACCCAAAAATGTGGAAGCAACTTAGGAACTGGATAACAGGCAGAGATTGGAACAGTTTGAAGAGCCCAAAAAAGATAGGAAAACGTGGGAAAGTTTGAAACTTTGTAGAGACTCGTTGAATGACTTTGCCCAAAATTCTGTCATGATATGGACAATAAAATTCAGGCTGAGATGGTCTCAGATGGAGATGAGATTGTTGGGAACTGGAACAAAGGTGACTCTTGTTATGTTTTAGCAGAGAGTGGCGGCATTTTGGCCCTGCCCTAGAGATCTGATCTTGAGAGAGATGATTTAGGATATCCGGTGGAAGAAATTTCTAAGCAGCAAAGCATTCAAGAGGTGACTTGGGTGCTGTTAAAGACATTCAGTTTTATAAAGGAAGCAAAGCATAAAAGTTTGGAAAATTTGCAGCCTAACTATGCAATAGAAAGGAAAATCCCATTTTCTGGGGAGAAATTCAAGCCGGTGGCAGAAATTTGCATAAGTAGCAAGGAGCCTAATGTTAATCTCCAAGACCATGGGGAAAATGTTTCAGGGCATATCAGAGAACTTCACAGCAGCCCCTCCTATCACAGACCTGGAGGCCCAGGAGGAAAAAGTGGTTTCATGGGCTCCAGGGTCACTGTGCTGTGTGCAGCCTAGGGAATTTGTGCCCTGTGTCCCAGCTGTGCCAGCCATGGCTGAAAGGGGCCAATGTAGAGCTTGGGCTATGGCTTCAGAGGGTGGAAGCCCTAAGTCTTGGCATCTTTCATATGATCTTGAGCCTTCAGGTGCACAGACATCAAGGATTGAGATTTGGGAGCCTCCACCTAGATTTCAGAAGATGTATGATAATGCCTGGATGCCCAGGCAAAAGTTTGTTGCAGGGGTGGGGGCCTCCTGGGGAACCTCTGCTAGGGCAGTGCAGAAGGGAAATGTAGGGTGGGGAGCCCCCACACAAAGTTCCTACTGGGGTACTGCCTAGTGGAGCTGTGAGAAGAGGGCCATCTTCCTCTAGACCCCAAAATGGTAGATCTACCAACAGCTTGCACTTTGCACCTGGAAAAGCTGCAGATGCTCACTGCCAGCCCATGAAAGTAGCCAGGAGGGAGGCTGTACCCTGCAAAGCCACAGGGGCAGAGCTGCCCGAGACCATGGGAACCCACCTCTTGCATCAGCGTGACCTGGATATGAGACCTGGAGTTGAAGGAGATCATTTTGGAGCTTTAAAATTTGACTGCCCCACTGGATTTTGGACTTGCATGGGCCCTGTAACCCCTTTTATGTTGGCCAATTTCTCCCATTTGGAACCACTGTATTTACTCAATATCTGTACCCTCATTGTATCTAGGAAGTAACTAGCTTGCTTTTGATTTTATGGGCTCCTAGGCAGAAGAGACTTGCCTTGTCTCAAATGATACTTTGGACTGTGGATTTTTGAGTTAATGCTGAAATGAGTTAAGACTTTGGGGGACCGTTGGGAAGGCATGATCGGTTTTTAAAATGCAAGGACATGAGATTTGAAGGGGCCAGGGGTAGAATGAAATGGTTTGGCTGTGTCTCCACCCAAATCTCAACTTGAATTTTATCTCCCAGAATTCCCACATATTGTGGGAGGGACCCAGGGGGAGGTAATTGAATCATAGAGGCCAGACTTTCCCATGCTATTCTTGTGGTAGCGATTAAGTGTCGTGAGATCTGATGGGTTTATTGGGGGTTTCTACTTTTGTTTCTTTCTCATTTTTTTCTTGCCACTATGTAAGAAGTGCCTTTCACCTCCCGTCGTGATTCTGAGGTCTCCCCAGCCATGTGGAACTGTAAGTGCAGTTAAACCTCTTTTTCTTCCCGGTTTTGGGTATGTCTTTATCAGCAGCATGAAAATGGACTAATACAGCAAGTATATGAAATATGAGGATAGGAATAAGAATTTGTGATTAAGACAAGATAGGCTTATTTGAGATATCATAATTTACAAATAGCCTGAGAAATATAATTTCTTGAAATTTATCGTTTACTTAGAATGAGTGGGAATCTTAAGAAGTAGCAACTCTACCATTGCTCATTCTTTTCTAGCTGCCTCCTCCTCTACTAAATGCTTTTTTAAATTGCTTTGGGAAAAGTAAATTTCCTTTCCTTTTACTAATGATTATAATAAATAATATTTGTCCCAAAGCAGAAAACCAGTAAGACAGAAAAGGCAAGGAAAACAGTGTATAAAATCTATAACACTCAGAATCTGTTAAATACGGGATATTTAAGAATTGACAATCCTCATCCTACTGTTTTTTGTTTTTCAACAAGTGCAATGAATGTTGGCATTGTTTCTTAGATTTTGGGATGACAGTAAACTATAAAAATATTTATTTGACAGTAAGTATAGTTAAGGCATAATGAGATAATCAATTGATGCAGCCTGTAATTCACTATTCTTAATTTTACAAAATAAAAATTCACAGTGATGGGAGACCTGGTCCAGCCCTGTCCATTGTGACCCACACCTCCTCAGGACTGAGCAGAAAGAGCTGCTGCAATGTAAGTTGATCTAACCTAGTTGGAAAGCAATTTATTAATAATAGTCAGAGACCTCAAATATGGATATTCTTTGAGATTCTAATCTAACAAAATAATTATAGTATTCTAAATAATACAAAATGCAGATAAACTTCATGCATAATATTAATAATGGCTGACCATTATAAAGTACTTATTATAGAACAGCAACTGTGATATTTCAAATGGATCATACCATACAATCATTATCAAAACAATTCTGAGATATTTACTATTACTACTTATGATCTCAGTACTTTAGGAGGATCACTTCAGGTCAGGAGTTCAAGACCACCCTGTGCAATTTATTGAGGCCCCATCTCTCCAAAAAAAAAAAAAAATTAGCCCGTCATGGTGGCAAACAGCGGTAGTCCTAGCTACTCTGGAGGATGAGGAGGGAGGATCAACTGAGCCCAAAAGATTGATGCTGCAGTGAGCTATGATCATGTTACTGCACTCCAGCCTGGGTGACAGATCAAGACCCTGTTTCTAAACATATATTAAAAAACAAAAATATAAAAATATAAATTAAAAGATAAAACAAAAATAGAACAGTAAAATTAATTGATGATTATACAACTAATAAGTGATAAAACTGGGATTAAAACTTAGTATGTGGAAATTCAGAATTCATACATTTTTCACATTTTGAAAGTATTTTTTAAAAAGTCTGCAATTATTTTAATTTTAATTGACAATCAGAAATGATATATACTTATGATGTACAATGTGATGTTTTGATATAAACAGACATTGTGGAATAGCTAAATTAGGCTACTTAACATATGCATTACCTCACATATTTATGATTTTTTTTTATGGTCGGAAGAACACTTGAAATCTACTCTCTTAGCAATTTTCAAGTATATGATATGTTGTTATTAACTACAGTCACCACAAGGTACAATAGATCTCTTGAACTTATTTCTCTTGTCTAACTGAAATGTTTTGTCCTTTGACCAACATCTCCTTAATCCTGCCCCTCGCCCTCAGCCTCTGGTAATTATCATTTTATTTTATTCTCAGTTTCTATAAGTTGACTTTCCTAGATTCCACAAATAAGTAAAATGATGTGATATCTGTCTTTCTGTGCCTGGCTGATTTCACTTAACATAGTGTCCTCCAAGTTCATCCACGTGAACTCCAAATGACAGAATTTCATTTTTTAAGGCTGGATACCATTCCACTCTGTATGTATACCACATTTTCTTTATTCATCTGTTTATGGACACTTAGGTTGATCTTGGCTGTGTTGAATAATGCTGAATAAGCATGAGAACGCAGATATGTCTTTGACATACTAATTTCATATCCTTTGGATATATATCCAGTAATGGGATTGGTGGGTCTCATAGTTCTAATTTTAACGTTTTGATGAACTTCCATCCTGTTTTCTGCAATGACTGCGCTAATTTATATTCCCACCAGCAGTGTACAAGGGTTCCTTTTTCTTCACATTCTTGCCAACACTTATCATTTACCTTTTTGATAACAGCCATTCTAACAGGTATGAGACAATATCTCATTGTGGTTTTAATCTGGATTTACCTAATGATTACTGATGTTGAGCATTTTTTCTTATAATTGTTGATCATTTGTGTGTCTTCTTTGGAGAAATATCTATTCATGTCTTTGTTAATTTTAAAATTGAGTTATTTGTTTTCTTACTATTGAGTTGCTTGAGTTCCTTAAATATTTTGGATATTAACTGTATATTAGACGTGTGGTTTATGAATATATTCTTCTATTCTGTAAGTTGTTTTTTTACTCCGTTGATTGTTTGCATTGCTGTATAGAGGTGTTTTAGTTTGAAGCAATCCACTTGTCTATTTTTGAGTTAGTTGCCTATTTTTTGAGGTAATATCCAAAAAAATCATTGCCTAACTCAACGTCAAGAAGCTTTATTTTTAGTTATGTTTTTGAATACATTGTAAAATAAAGGTCTAATTTTATTTTTTGCATGTAAATATCCAGTTTTTCCAGTACCAGTTATTGAAGAGACTATTCTTCCCCATTTTGTGTTCTTGTATCCTTATCAAAGATCTGTTAACCATAAATGTATATATTTATTTCTGGGCTCTTTGTTCCATTTCATTGTTCTATATGCCTGTTTTTATGCCTGTAACACACTATCTTTATCATTGTAGCTTTATAATATAATTTGAAAGAGGATATATGGTGTCTGAAGCTTTGTTCTTCTTGCTCAAGATCGCTTTAGCTATTTTGGGTCCTTTGTAGTTTTATTCAAATTTCAGGATTTTTTTTTCTGTATCTGTGAAAAAGGTCACTGTGATTTGGTAGGGATTGCTTTTGGTAGGGACTACTTTGGGTAGTATAAACATTTTTACAATATTAATTATTATAATCCACGAACAGGGTATCTTCTTCATTTTCTTCTTTTCTGATTTACAAACCTTTTTTATCTTTATTTATTTATTTATTTATTTATTTATTTATTTTTGCCTAATTTCTCTGGATAGGACTTCTAGTACTATATTAAATAGAAGTGGTGAGAGTTGGCCGGACAAGGTGGCTCAGCACTTTAGGGAGGCAGAGGCAAGTGGATCACAAGGTCAGGAGTTTGAGACCAGCCTGGCCAACATGATGAAACCCCCTCTCTACCAAAAATACAAAAATTAGCTGAGTGCAGTCGTGTGTGCCTGTAATCCCAGCTACTCAGGAGGCTGAGGCAGGAGAATTGCTTGAACCCGGGAGGCAGAGATTGCAGTGAGCCGAGATTGCGCCAATGCACTCCAGCCTGGGTGACAGAGCAAGACTCCGTCTCAGAAAAAAAAAAAAAAAAAAAAAGAAGGGGTGAGACAGTGAGAGCATACTAGTTTTGTCCCTGAACTTAGAGGAAAAGTTTTCAGATTTTACCATTGAATATGAACATTGTGATACATTTATTTTATTCTTTCATATCTAGTTTGTTGAGAGTTTTTATCACAGGAAGATGTTAAATTTTTTCAAATTCTTTTTCTGCATCTGTTGAGATGATCATAGGATTTTTATTCTTCACTCTTCATTTTTATTGATTTGCATATTTAAATAATTCTTCCATCTTGGAGATAAGTTCTACTTGATCATAGTGTATAATCCTTTTAATGTGCTGTTAAATTTAGTTTGCTAGTATTTTTTTGAGAATTTTTGCATCTATATTCATCATGGATATTGGTCAGTAATTTCCTTTCTTCCAGTGTTCTTATCTGACTTTAGTATCAGGGTAATACTTTAAAAATGAGTTTTGGAAATATTTCCTTCTCTTTAATTTTTTGGAAGAGTTTGAGAAGGATTAGCATTTATTTTTCTTTAAATATTTGATAGAATTCACCAGTGAAGCCATATGGTCCTGTGGCTTTGGTCTATAAGAAAGAAAATGCCATATGGTACTTTCCTTTCTTGGGATTTTTAAATTATTGATTCAGTCTCATTACCAGTAATAAGTCTGTTCAAATTTTCTATTTCTTCATTATTCAGTCTCTGTAGGTTGTATGTTTCTAGAAATTTAACCATTTTTTTCTAGGTTGTTCACTTTGCTGGAGTATAGATGTTCATAGTAGTCTTTTATGATCCTCTGTATTTGTATGGCATCAGTTGTAACGTCTTCTATTCATTTATTATTTTATTTACTTGCATTTTCTCTTCTTTTTTCTTGGTTAATTTTGTTTCTACTTTCAGAAAAACAACTCTTGGTTTTATTGATTTTTTAATATTATTTTTCTATTCTCTTTTTCACTTAATTCTACATTATGTCTTTAATTGGAGAAGTTTATTCATTTATATTTAAAGTAATTATTGAGGGATAAGGACCTACTATTGCCATTTTGTTCACTGTTTTCTGACTCTTTTATAGATCCTTTCTTTCTTTTTTCTCTTACTGTCTGTCTTTGTGACTTAATAATAAACAGCTCCACTTTAAATTACTAACTACTATTCATTATAACTGAATCTTTCTTAAAATGTAATGCATTTGAAACTTTGACATCTATTAGCCAATTTCCCTGAATTCAGTGTACTTTTTAGGAGAGACAGGATGATAGAGAACGCTGGATCTCAAAGTGTGGTTCTCTATCAGCAACATCAGCATTATCCAGATATGACAAGTTAGAAATGCAAATTCTTGGGTTCTAGCCAAGACCTACTGAATCACAAGCTCTGAGGTCTGATTCAGAAATCTGGGTCTTAATAAGCCCTCTATGTGACTGTCATGCATGCTAAAGTTTAAGAACTACTAGTGTAAAGAAAGAAACATTTTGTCGAAAAGACCTGAGTTTTAGTTGCATTCCACACCCAGCTTTGTAAATTTGTGCAAATTATTTAATCTTCCATTTCTTTCTTTACAAAGTTAAGGATAATAATAACTATTGCATGGATTTTCTATAAAGATTATATAATATTTGCTAGGAGTAATGAGCACTTAATAAATGGGAGTTACTGCCATAGGATGGTTCATTCTGAAAGGTCTAGCTAATAGTCCTTCACAAATGTCTAATACGCCTTACTCACATCTCATAAGACACTTCAGTGGCTAATATATTATGCCAAGTTGGGATTCAAAAATAACGGCTTTGTAATTTGGAAATGGTGTCCCTGATACAATTAGCTCTTTGCAACTGGAGAATCTATTACAGTCTGTTTGTTAAGTACTAAGCAAATTCTCCTCCTTACAGCATATCAATGATTAGCCTTGCTAGCTTTTGTGTATGGTGCAAATTAGGCACTTAAAGTGCATAAGCCATTCTCAGGGAAATCCACAAAGTGGTAAGTGATAAATAAAATTGAACGCTCTCAATAAAGAATACCTGGGTTTTGTCAGCATGACCAGTAGGAAAAACTGCACAGAATGCTTGCCTTCTAATTGGCCCCTCTGTTAGAAAACAAATCTCTTGCCTACTGTGCTATAATACTGACAGGAAAAAGGTAAAAAATATAATTGTTATGGAAAGGGCCACTTCCCTGCCAGGCTTACCAGGCTATTATAT